GTGAATCCTCAAAAGTTGGATATTTTTCAAAAATTGAATTTTTACCTACTGATAATAAAAATTATCTTCTATTAAAATTTTTTTTTATACTGAGAAGAAAAAATTTTGAGTATAAATCTTGTTTCAGCAACATCAAAATGTATTTCAATCTAAAAACTCACACAGAAAGAAAAATTTCTTTACTGGAGAACAAAATTCTTGGCTCAAGAAAATTTTCGGATGCCTGAAGGAAGACCGAAGTTGTGTTGGCCGAAATAAAAATTTTTCTTGAAATTCTATTCTTGGTGAAAGTAATTTTTTCTTAATTCAACTTATCATAAATACTTGATAAATTTTTATATTAGATCATGATTTTTAGATACTTTAGGGAAGCAGCGCCACCTACTTCAGTTGAGAAAAAAATTTCCTCACCTTGAGAAAATTTTTCTCTTAAATATTTGATACCGAATTCGTATTATTTTAGCGTGCAATTATTCATTTTGAAAAAAAAAAAAGTGATTCAATATTATTTGATCTTCCCATTTGACATGTTGATCAATAAAAATATTAATGAAAATTTACATCTATCGAGATATTTAATTTTTTGGAGCAAGAGAGAAATTTTCTCAAGATAAGAAAATTTACTTCTATCAAGAACTAAATTTTTTGGAGCAAGAGGCTGAATTTTCTCAAAACAACAAGATTTTCTTAACTTAAATAAATTTTCTTGGATCAAGATACTTATTTCTTTAATAAGCAAAAAAAAAATTAATTTCATTGGAATAAGTGAAATTTCTTGTGAAAAAAATTGAAAAAAATTTTTTTTTTCGCTGAAGAAAATAATTAGGAAAGAAAAATGTTTTCTAGGCTCAAGTGAACCTTTTTTTCTGTGGAGTACTTGAATTTAATTTGAAATTGATTCCAAATTAATCTAGAATAACTCCGCTAAAAAAACTTCGAATTCACTCTACACGCAAATTGTTTAATTACTTTACTCCAAAACTCTGAGTAATGGGATTAAATTTAAATTTGGATTAAGATTTACTCCGAATTCATCCCGATTCTTTACAATGTATTTTTAATCTCGTAAAATTAAATTTTTCAAAATATAAGGTTATGTAAAATTTGATGAAACTAAACTTTGTAGTTTTTATTTAACAATGTTAGATGAATTTTTTTCCCAATTCCTTTCCATACTTGACGGCTAATTTTTAATTTTATTTCTAATTAATTTACAATGAATATATGCGAATAATAGCTCACAGATCTTTGGGTGATTGATTGATTATATAAATAAACGATTGTCTAAATTTAAAGATTATTTCTTCATGCATCTACTCTCAGGTTGCATTATCCCAATTGGATCCTACTACGAGCCCAGTTAGGAAAACCCATCGATGCCTTATTTACATTACGTTGGGAAAATCCTCTTCAGTCCCACACCGATCCCACTTAGGAGAACTTAGCAATTTTATTATTATTTTTCGTTGGGTTATCCCTCTTAGATCCCACACAAATCCCACTGGGGAAAATTTAGAAATTGTATTTTTTTTCCGTTGGGTTATCCCTCTTAGGTCCCACACAGGACCCTATTGGGAAAAACTGAATAAAAATTTTTAATTTTGCGTTGGGATTTCCCATTTAGGTCCCACACAGGACCCTATTGGGAAAAACTGAATGAAACTACTCATTTTTGCATTGGGATTTCCCATTTAGGTCCCACACAGGGCCCTATTGGGAAAAACTGAGTGAAACTACTTATTTTTGCATTGGGATTTCCCATTTAGGTCCCACGCAGGGCCCTATCGGGAAAAACTGAGTAAAAATTTTTATTTTTATGTTGGGATTGCCCGATTGGGGGCTAATTAGGCCCTTATAGGGGTTTCCCAATTGGGCGTGCCTCTTCGGGACCCAATCAGGTCCAGATGTATACGCTGGGTAATCCCAAAGTAATTTCTAGTCGAGAATATGAGAATGATGCCGTAGTGATGTCCGACGACGAGTTGACATTGTCCTCGTCAAAGTCGGTAAGCCCTCATACTTAGGCCTGGGGAGGTATGAGGGTTATCACCCCTAGGACGGCTGATTCACCTGCGATCGGGCCAGGTATTCTAGCGTGCGGGGTTTGTTTTTTTTAATGGATTGTAATACTTCTTTTATTCAAAATTTTGCTGGATCTTCTAGTACTCATGGCGATCATGAATATTCTAAGAATCCTAATTTCTTTTGCTACGTTTGTGCAAAATACATTCGGATGAAAAATACAAAGAAACTCACGAATACGTTTGTGACTTTGTATGAAAAGTGTCTCAATATATGGAAGTTTCTCTCAATTTAAAAAATTGGATACCTAATGTTATTTGTGGTTCATGCTATAACATGGTTAGCCGATTTGAGAAGCACCAGGACAAGGAGAAACTTAAATTTAAAACTTCAGCTACATGAAAGGGCTACGTAACAAATCACCCGGACGACATTTCATCCGCGACCATTCACAGCGACGATTTCATGATTTTTTTTAATTTTAATTCAAATTTGATATAAAAAAAAATATTTACAAATATTTACAAAAAAAAATTACAAATATCCCGGACACAGGGGCCCCAAAATGTCGCGGGTGAAATGTCGTGCGGGAGAAATGACGTGCCACGATATGGAAGAAGCTTCTTGGTGCGAATGATTGCTACTTTTGCACGAAAAAAGTTAAGACTGCGGGCCAAATCCATAAGGACAAAATTTCGTATTCTCCTGCTTCAGGGTGCAACAACCAGTTGCAAACTTTATAGAAGGTTCAGAAAATGATACGTCAAAAGACAGTCTGACCAGTGGATTCGATACAATGAAAGTCAACGTCGATCCTGAGAATGTAGCTCTTAATAACGAAGAGTCTGCTACTGGTAGTGAATCCGATTCTAGTGAACCTGATGAAAAAGTTCCTTCGAGCAGTGAAGAAGAGTACAGGCCGATCGCTGAAGAGAAAAAGCCAGAAAAATACGACGAAAAATATCTAAATGATTTATTTAGAGAAGCTAAACTCTCAAAAGAAGCGGCTGAAATATTGGCTTCGAGTATGAAAAGGAGAAATCTTCTGACAAAAGATACTAAATTTTCATTTTATCGGAATCGAGAGTAGGCTTTCCGTAAATATTTTGAAAAAGAGGAAGATTTGCTTTATTGCACTGATGTGAAAGGACTTGTGGATGAATTAAAGCCAAATATATATGAACCTGAAGATTGGTGATTATTCATTGACTCGTCCCAACACAGTCTTAAGGCAGTTCTTCTTCACAACACCAATAAGTTTGCTCCTTTACCTTTAGCTCACTCAACTGTACTTAAAGAAGAGTACACAAATCTAGAAACTGTCCTGGAAAAAATTGAGTATGAAGAACATAAATGGCAAGTATGTGGTGATTTGAAGATTTTGTCCAGGAAATCCGGACGTTATTCAAAGATGAAACATTTGTTTCAGTGATGGATGAACAAGAAAACGCATCATGGCTAAGTTTCAAGGAAGTGTGTACCAAATTTTTAGGTAACACCAAAGATGCTGATTACGAAAATATTGTAGCCAATATGATCGCAAACTTTCAGCGTTCAGGTTGCCTAATGAATTTGAAACTTCACTTTCTTGATTCGCATCTCAACTACTTTCCAGAGAACAACGAAGACTTTAGTGAAGAGCAAGGAAAGAGATTTCATCAAGATCTCAAATAATTTGAACGGCGATTTCAGGAGCAGTGGGAAGTAAATATGTTTGCAGATTACTGCTGGATGCTACAAAGAGAAACTTAACAGAGAGGAAAAAAGCGTAGCAAAAATCCGTTGCACAGGTCATTCGAGGAGAAAAGGGCCAGGAAACGACAGAAATTATAAGATTTTAATTATCAAGCAGAAAAAATTATTAGATCGGAGATTTTATCGGTTTTTTAAATTTTTCTCCGTTTTTTGCAGCTTGACCCCCAATTTTGACTTCAGATTCGGGTTCAGCGGTAAAAAATACGTCGGAAAATATATGTCGCACACCCAGCACAAACCACTTTTTTTGTGGCCTGTGTAATTAATCACCTAGTCTACTAATTATTTATTAGTTTTTCGAGTTTATTTATTACAACACTACTTTCCGAGGGATATTAATCTCTTGTCTGAAAATATTGTCGGTGTTACGGATTTCAACTTTGCCATCGCTGTTTTACTACTTGATCCACAAGAAATAAATAATTATTTCTCTTAAGACGATACAAGTCCGCGGAAAATGATAAAAAGTCCCTTTTACATTTATAATATATTTTATTTGATATGTACGTGTGGAGAGTAGACTCGGAGACTGGACACTTAAAACACAGTTCTTTAAAAACAATGCAATGATCTGAGATCGGCTGACCTACCCTGACTCTTTGACCCTCATACTTAAATATTAAAACATTCTCTTTACTTGTATTGTATTACATTCCTCAGTGCGTTGCTAACCGACAGTTTTATACTCACTTTAATCTTCGCATCATCTTCTATTATTTAAAAGGGACTATCAAGATAAATAAATTTGCATTAAATATGGAGGCGCAGCAACAAATATCAGTTTGTATATTATTATAAATGAAAGTTTTATTACGGTCTATGACTAATTTAGAAATTTAAATTACTGATAATGAATATTGTAGTTGGAAGGAACCGATCTTACCTGTTGTAGAAATCTGAAAAAGTTCTATTGACGGCAAGTAAGATAAAAATTTATTTATCTGTAATAGATTAAAATTTTCCAACAATTTCCGATAAAAAATTAATTTGTTACAATTATTTACATTTAAATTGAAAATTTTACTTTTTTAATAAATTTTAATAAGGTTTATTTGAATTTTCAATTAAAAATTTGATAATCCTCTTTTTACCCACAAATTTTTGTTATTGCAATTGCAATTGCAAGAAAAATTTTTTTTTGGTTTAATTAAAAATTCCTAGTACTGAATAATTAAAAATTTTAATTTTGTCTGACAAAAATAATAAATTTCTCCTTTAAAAAAATGTTCTTCCGGCAAGTAGTGTCATCTTACAGAGGAACTGGAACTATTATTGACATTACACTGGTATTTCGTACGCGTGCGTTAGTTTTGACGTTGACAATAAAACATAACCAAATTTTAATACAACAAAAATAAAATAATATTTATTTTTATTTAGAAACTAATAATTAAAATGTCACAAAAAAATTATTTAAATTTAGACATAAATAAATTATTCGAAGATCATACGATTAAAGAAATAGAACAAATAGCGAAGAAAATTCAAGCTGAAAGTGATCACAAGAAAATAGAATTGCGGACTCTTGTTGGGTAAATAAATAATTTTATAATTTAATAATTAATTGTATTAATTATTATAAAAAATGATCAATTTTCAGAGAAAGATACAGAGATCTAATCCAAGCAGCTGACACGATCGCCGAAATGAAAACGACGACCGAGTGTGTGATAAAACGGATGGGAGCCATCGAGGACACTTTCAAAGACCTCCAGCAGAAATACTTGATAGGCTTCAAAATTGACCCGCGAGAAAAAGTCCTTGAGAAGCGCGAGTTCGACTCCTGGGACGCGATTATTGTCCAGATAAAAATTCTGATGGATATTCCGGAGTATATTTGGTCGGCGATCGATGACAGAGACCTGCTAAGAGCCAGTCAGCTTTTTATTCTGGCTCAGCATATTCATTACACACTCATTCTGCAAGTCGGACACAATCCTCTCAAGTCGAAATTCCCGGTTGTCATCAAACAGTGGTCTAGTATCAGCAACTTTCGGAGGATTATTTCTGAAGAGTGTAATCATACTCTAAAATCAATTGACTTGTCTCCGGAAGTAAGTTGAGCTTAATAAATAATTAAAATTAAATTACCCGACATCTGAATATTTTTTTAATTTTTTAATTGAAAAAAATTATTTTAAAAAATTATTTTAAATGTAGAAAATTTGAAAAAAAAAAGCGATTTTTAATAAGCATTTTTTTACTTATCTTTTTATTGATTCAAAAAATCAAAAACTTTCAAATGTCTGCTAATTTTAGTATCGTTGATAAATAAGGAGCTGATTTTCAAAAAGGTATCTTTTCATATTTTAAAAGAGCAGTTTTTTTAACTTTTAAATATTGATTACTTCAAGAATTATAAAGATTTCTAAATGAGAATCGAATTGTAACTTCATAACCGATAACAATTTATAGCTAAATTAAAAAAATTCAATAAAAATATTTATAATTGACGATAACCAGTTTTTTGTCTCGATTAATCAAAAATGAAAATATACCTCTTTGAAACTCAACTCCTTAATTGAATCTCAGTTTAATTTTTTATTAGTTGAGCTTGATAAATAATTAAAATTAAATTACCCGCGATTAAATATTCTTAAATTTTTTAATTGAAAAAAATTATTTTAAAAAATGAAAAAAAAAAAATTATGTAAAAATCTGAAAAATTTAAGGGGGAACACCACTGTGACGATCGAAAAAAAGAGGTGATTTTCAGGAATGTTTTTGACAGGGAAAATAAAGGAATTTGGGAATCGGATTTTTTTTATTTTATTAAGGGTACATTAAAGATTATTACCCTAAATTTTTATTAAAAAATATTTAATTATTACAAAGTTATTAACAATCTCGTAGAGCACTAGAAAAAATTTCCCCCTCCATGGTCGGTTCGATAACTCAAAAACGAATCATCTGAAAATAAAAATCCAAATTGCTTTTTAATCAGTAAGGATGTAGTCATCGTCGCACGTACGGAATTAAAAAAATTTTTATTTTAAAGATTTTTTTAGCCGGGTTAAAAAAAAAAAAAAAAAACTTTATCATCTATCTCTAACTCTACGTGTAAAGGATGCAATTTCAAAAATTAATTACTCAAAAACGGTGCGGTGAATTAATCTGAAATTTTGGTGGTGAATTATTAATATATTTATCTTTCGATAAAAAAAATTCCATAAGTTTCTTGAAATATGCTTTTCGTGAAGATACTACATTAATGTTACTGATGTGATAGTTATAAATAATTGTATTTTATAGCTTGCAGCCAACTGTCTGACATCGCTGTTACTTCTGGAGAAAACACAGTCTAAGGTTCTGTTAAAAAAATTGATAGAACTACGCTGTAAGGCCGTCGAATCAATAGTATTGAGTAATGACAATCTAAGTGTCAAACATAAAATAAAATTTGCTGTTAAATTACTGATGGATACTGTCGCATTGATCTATAAATGTTTTATAAGTAAGTTTTTCCATTATATATAATTATAAATTTTTTTCAATTTGTTTGATGAATGATTTAAAGTTGATAAAATAATTATTCAATATTTTTTATAAAAAATCGACTAATTAAAAAAAAAATTTTTATAATTTTCTCAATTTTTTAAAGTTCATTCAAAGTTGTGAAAATTAAATTTTTATTTTTAAATTTAAAAACTGATACTGAATTTAACAAAAATCTAAAAATTAAAAAATTTTTTTTTATCAATTAAATTGTAATGAAAAAAAATTATCAAAAATATTCCATAAATAGAAATTAAAAAAAAAATTATCAGTACAAATTTTTAAAAATATTTTCAAGAATTTTTAATAATATTTTAAATATTAAAAAAAAATTATTTTTAATATTTTATTTTTAACAAAAATTTCAAGAGATATTAAATGTCCGCTAATTTTAGTATCATTAAAAACTGTCTTCTAATTAAAATTAAAAAAAAAATTCCTCTTAGTACTACCTCTCAATTATTTTACCAAATTTCAGACTTAAATCAGCACCAAGGCGGCTTGATAACCCAGTACATAACCGCAATAGAAGCCCTGGAGGCGGTAAACATGCTAGCATATTGCGACAGCGACACAGAGCTGATAACCGACTGTCTCCCGGAGTTAACAAAAGAGCACAAGCTCTTCACACACGACTCCTACTTTCCCTTGAAACTCCCCGAACTGCACTCCGAATTGACCGGCTGGCTGACTTGGATCCACTCGTTCACCAACCAACACGTAACCCGGCTGCTCACCGTGATAACATCAGTCCGCGGAGTCTACAACATCCGCGAAGAAGCGGTAGCAATCCAGCTCCCGGAGAACTGGAGCAACATCTGGCGCGACGTATCTCTCCCGACAGTTAATTTCTGGACGGATTACTTCCACCCGTTGCTGACTCAGCGCGTCAAGGAAATAATAGCCGCCCGTTGGGAGGAATCTCTCCTGGACTTGAAGAACAAACTGACGTGTTTTCTGATAAAATTGAACAACGACAAGTTTGACTACCCCGAGAGCGACTTGCGGTGGTACCTCTGGAAGGATTCACCGACTGACATTCCTCAGAAACTGACCAAGCTTAACAACGCGTCCGACTTCATCAACAAGCGCTCGCTGTTGATGAAGGCCAGAGGCTACTCTCCGAACTTAGTCCAGCTGTGTCAGGAGTTCGACGATGATTTGAAGAAATTATTGATCGATTTAGAATTATATTTGTACGAGTCCGAGAAAATAACTTCTGTGATAAACAGCGACGACTTGCTGTCGATAAATCTAGCCTCGTTGTTTGACAAATTCAACGACCGCTCGGCGGTTCACGACGACCTCCAGCGAATCAGCGCGCTTATGATTGACAATCTTATCGGGTTTATCAAAAATAAATGCATTAATCCAGACTCTTGTTACGGAAAATGCGATATAAACATAATTGTAATGGCGAGATTTCTCCAAGCGCTGACCTGGCTCTGCACCAATCTCAACAAGTGCTTCACTCTGTCCAAAATCTCCGGGCTCACTATCTCCAATGTCAAATGGCAGGCGATCTGCGACAAAATTCGCGACGAGAGTTTTGCAATTTGGGGACTTTGGGCCAAAAAGTACCGACTTGTTGTCAAGGACTATGTTAATAAAATCTTAAAAGCCGACTTTTCCGACGGAAGCAGTGTTAGATCTATTGTTTCCGAGTGGGAGAGAGTGACCATTGAAGAAGAGGCTGAAGACGGCGAGAGGATCAAGTCCGAGATCCTGGTGCCCTACCAGCCCTCGGCGGCGCTCCACAGGTTTTTCGCTACGATCATCAGAGACTTGAACAAAGTGGTGACTCACACTGTCCCAAAGAAAATCCTCGCGGATGTCGTCGAGGGAATCGTCGAGGAACTGGAGGATTTCTACGGGTCTGTTGCCAAGAATAATTTGAGACAGAAGCAGGCTTTTCAAGTCCTACTGGATGTTAAATATGTCGCGCTGTTGATGGTCCCGAGGGAGAACAAAATTTTGAACGATAAACTGGACAATGTTTGTGGGAGTATTCTGGAGAAAATTGATCCCTTTGACTCCGATGTCTTCTCGCCGTTCATACATGTTAATGTTAAGAAAAGCGTTCAGCGGTCCTTGGTAAGGTTGATGAAAATAATTTGGTAAATATTTACAAGTTGGGTCAACTATTTTAATTTTCATTTTTTGAGCGAAATTTTTATTTGATTTTATTGATGTTTTTTTTTTGAAAAATACAAAAAAAAATTTGGTTATCACAATTTTAACAAATTTTCAAAAAAATTTATAAATTTTTTAGAAAATTGTGATATTAAATTTTTTATTTTAATTGTTCGTTTTTTTATGTACTTTTCAAAAAAATCATATCAAAAACAATAAAAAAAAGATGAAATAGAAATTTTATCCAAAAACATGAGAGTCAAAATTTTTTCAACTTTTGAAGGCAAAAAAGCTATCGAAATCTTTATTTTTTTCTTTCACGACATTCTTTATCATAAATTCGCCGTAAAAACAAGCAGAATAAAAAAAAAATTGAAAATGTTAATTTTCCACCTTGTTATGGCCCAAAATGGAGTAGACTTCACCTGTAAATAATTACCAATAAGGTAAATATTTACAAGTGGGGTCAACCATTTTAAATTTCATTTTTTGGAACGAAATTTCTATTTGATTTTATTGATATATATTTTTTTGAAAAATCCATAAAAAAATGAACAATTAAAAAAAAAAAGTTAAACTTGATTATCACAATTTTAACAAATTTTCAAAAAAATTTATAAATTTTTTAGAAAATTGTGATATTAAATTTTTTATTTTAATTGTTCGTTTTTTTATGTACTTTTCAAAAAAAATATATCGAAAACATTAAAAAAATATAAAATAGAAATTTTATAAAAACATGAGAGACCAAAAATTTTTTTCCAACTTTTGAAGGCAAAAAAGCTATCGAAATCTTGATTTTTTTTTTCACGACATTTTTTATCATAAATGCGCCGTAAAAACAAGCAGAATAAAAAAAATTTGGAAATATTAATTTTTCATCTAGTTATGGCCCAGAATGGGGTTGACCCCACTTGTAAATAATTACCATAATTTTATTTACTGAGGGATTAATTGATGACACTGAAATTAGCAGACACTACAAGTTTTTAGATTTTTTTTTAATAATAAACTAAGTCTAGAAAATTATTAAAAAAAAATTGCATTTGTAAGTTTTTAGAGCTTCTAAGGATGGGATTTTTTTGATAAATTTTTCTGGCTATAATTTATTAGTTAAAAAATTTCTAAAAATTGTGTGATGTCTCTCAATTTCAGTATCATATCAATTGCATTATTTTATTTTGCAGTTGTTGTACGGAAACTTGATTCCGCATTTGGAGCAATTGCACTCAGTACTAGGGGCTCGGGGCGAGTTGGGCGACAGCGGAAAGTCTATAACTAATCCTCCAGGTGTGCTTGCTGTTTGTACTGGAGCACCTTGGTTTCCTCCGCTCGCCGTGACCGTGCCCTCGCGTAATTTGCCGCTTATTCCCGTTGCAATGCCTGATAAACTCCAGGTACTTACAGTTATCTCTTATCAATAGCTCATTTATAATTATAGTTATAATAAATTACTAGATTATGTTATTATTTATTTATTTACATTATTATTGATTGATAATACATTAGCTTTATGTTATTCTTTAGTCGATGTATATATTTTTTATAATCTTTAGATGGGCGGTTTTTTTTTGAGGTAAGGAAGCTAATGGGTAAAGGTTTATCGCTTCAGGATTTATAATTTATTGCATGGATTTTTATTCTTTAGTTTTATTATAAAATCCTTAATTCAATTTTCTGATATGCAAGTTAATTAAAATTATATTGTACGCAGAATTCTATTAAATATTTTAATTACCTTTTTAATAATTTATGCTTTTATTTTTAGAATTTCATTAGAGTTTAATTTGTTTTTAATTACATCCCTTGATTATTATTTTATCTTTTTTTATTATTTATTAATAAAAATTAATGGATTTTTTTTAGCGAAAAAAAGTAGTCAAAGAACACACGAGAAGTGATTCTACTGGAGCTTCCATTAAATCTGGAGCAGCGGCATTTTTCGGAGCCATGGGGTCTGATTGGTTTAGTACTAGTTAATTATAGTTACAGTTTTTATGTAAATATATTCATTGATTTTATAATATTATTATGTCTATATTTTTTTGTATAATGTAAATAAATAAATTTATTATTATTATCTATATTATTGAGAGAATAAGAAAAATTTTGTGGCCAGAGTATTTATATGATATAATGGGTTTTTATGGTTCAATTTGGTATCATTAGAAACGTCTTGACCTGAAGTTGTGCCTTTTCAAGGTTTCATATCATTCTCACCAATAGTCAATTTATGATGATGAGTATTTAGGCTGCATTCGAAAATGCTCTAGCTCTAGATACATAATTAAGAAATAACCTTGTATCTTGTGAACTATTGACATTTTTAAAGATATAAGCTCATCCCGATGTTTCACTCATCAAGACTTTTCATTTGAGTACCCACATCAATTTTTCATATATTTACTTATAATTTATATACGGATATATAAAAAATATATCAAAATTCATGTGGTTACTCAAATGAAAGCTCTTGATGAGTGTAACATCGGGATGAGTTTATATTTTTAAAAACATTAATATTTAAGAAAGTACAGTGCAATTTAAGATAATTAAGAAATTACCCTATATTTTGTGAACTATTGACATTTTTAAAGATATAAGCTCATCCCGATGTTACACTCATCAAAAGCTTTCATTTGAGTACCCACATGCATTTTGACATATTTTTTATATATATTAGGGCGCTTTTGTTAACTTCTCGCTAAGAAAATTGGAAATTTTCAAAAATCGGGAAGTTATCGGTTTCACCCCTTTTTGCGAAAATCGAGTTTTCATCAGATCCCGCCGTTTTAAGGTCACAGGAAGCTTCCCTGATTATTCCCTCGATGGTCCCGTGCGGCTGTGTGTGTGTGTGTGTGTGTGTGTGTGTGTGTGTGTGTGTGTGTGTGTGTGTGTTTGTGAGTGTGTGTGTGTGTGTGTGTGTAAAACCTTTATAACTTTTGAACGGCTCGACCGATCGGATCGAAAAAGGTAGCAATCCAAAGAAATCATTGCCATTAAATTTCGTGAAAATTTGAATCGATTCGGTTCGCTAGACTTAGAGAAATCTCAAATTTAAAATTTTCAAAAAATCGTTTTTTTGGAATAACTTCTAACCGGCTCGACTTATCGATTCCAAAAACTAATCCGCTCTTAAATTTGAAAAATCACGTCGATTGCCACCAGTCCCGTCAAAATTAGTTGATTCGTTCGAGAGTTATCGAAATCGAATAATTTCGAAAAAAGTGTTTTTTTCACATAACTTCGACAATCAATATTTTCGGAGATATTTAATGATATTTTTAAAAGATATTTCTTATAATTTGAAACAATTTTCGATAAAAATTTGAAAATACAAAAAATTTATTTTTAAATATCTCCGAAAATATTGATTGTCGAAGTTATGTGAAAAAAACACTTTTTTCGAAATTATTCGATTTCGATAACTCTCGAACGAATCAACTAATTTTGACGGGACTGGTGGCAATCGACGTGATTTTTCAAATTTAAGAGCGGATTAGTTTTTGGAATCGATAAGTCGAGCCGGTTAGAAGTTATTCCAAAAAAACGATTTTTTGAAAATTTTAAATTTGAGATTTCTCTAAGTCTAGCGAACCGAATCGATTCAAATTTTCACGAAATTTAATGGCAATGATTTCTTTGGATTGCTACCTTTTTCGATCCGATCGGTCGAGCCGTTCAAAAGTTATAAAGGTTTTACACACACACACACACACACACTCACAACAGATCCCGCCGTTTTAAGGTCACAGGAAGCTTCCCTGATTATTCCCTCGATGGTCCCGTGCGGCTGTGTGTGTGTGTGTGTGTGTGTGTGTGTGTGTGTGTGTGTGTGTGTGTGTGTTTGTGAGTGTGTGTGTGTGTGTGTGTGTAAAACCTTTATAACTTTTGAACGGCTCGACCGATCGGATCGAAAAAGGTAGCAATCCAAAGAAATCATTGCCATTAAATTTCGTGAAAATTTGAATCGATTCGGTTCGCTAGACTTAGAGAAATCTCAAATTTAAAATTTTCAAAAAATCGTTTTTTTGGAATAACTTCTAACCGGCTCGACTTATCGATTCCAAAAACTAATCCGCTCTTAAATTTGAAAAATCACGTCGATTGCCACCAGTCCCGTCAAAATTAGTTGATTCGTTCGAGAGTTATCGAAATCGAATAATTTCGAAAAAAGTGTTTTTTTCACATAACTTCGACAATCAATATTTTCGGAGATATTTAAAAATAAATTTTTTGTATTTTCAAATTTTTATCGAAAATTGTTTCAAATTATAAGAAATATCTTTTAAAAATATCATTAAATATCTCCGAAAATATTGATTTTAGCGACTTGGTGCTAAGGGCTTTTTTTGTAAAAAATTGAATTTTCTACACATTGTCATTCATATTTTTGTGTAGGTCTTGTCATTCACGAGATAAATGCGAAAAAACGCGAATTTCATGGAAAAAATCAAGTTTAGAGACCTGTACTACCTTGCCGGTTCGAGTTACGGCTTAGCCGCAATGAACACTTTTGAAAAGCATTTAATTTTGAAAAAAACCCGTTCATGGTCAAAGTGATGCTAGAAAATGCCACTGAGCTACAAAAAATTTACAGATAAAAAATCAGAGTTTCTGTGTTTTTTTAATGGGAAATCTTTACACGCCTGGGTCGAGGACATAATATTAATTAGGTCCCAAACTTTCAGGGAATTTTTTTTTGGGTACTTGCAACAAAATTTCACGATGAGACCGAAAAAAAAGTAGTTGAAAAAAAAAGCACTCTAATATAGGGGAGGGGGGGGGGGGCGAAATGGGGGACTTAAGCAATCGTTATGGTTTTAAGGACTTAAATACGCTGATTTTTCTCGTTTTCAGTCATA